AGTGAATCGTATCTCAGTTGTTTGGATTTTTCAGACAGCAAAGGAGGAAGTAAAACATTCTTAAATGAGACAGTTAGGTACAGAATTTCAAATAGCTGAAGCCCACATAATGAATCATCTTAGTAGAAAGGTGAACTTACTACTGGTGCACTTTAAAATATGTACCATAGCAAACTAATTGCCATTTAAGCATTTAAGATCTTGGCATTACCCTCAAGATTCTCATTTCTGCATTAGCCTCAAAACGACAGTTTGTACAATATTGACTCCAAACTTGGAAAAAGAATCATGAGTCTGTCTCTTCTGGTAAAAGACCCAAAATCTTTGAGGAAGGTCACAAATGTATCTTTCACTAATTTGTATTTATTTTCTGTTACAGGGTGAGGAAATCACTAAGGAGGAGATTGACATGCTGAGTGATGCTTGCACCAAGCTGCAGGAACAGAAAAAATCACTAACAAAGGAAAAGGAGGAGCTTGAGGAATTGAAGGGTGATATCCAGGAGTATAGTGAGGTGAAGAATGGAAGTTCTTTTTTAATTTTATTTCTGTTTGTGTTTAGATTTAGCATAAAAGATTATTTTACATTAATGTCTGTTAGCCTGTATTTAGTAGCTGAGAAAATGAGCTTTATACTGTTTTATACAGAGTCTCATTTGTATAATGTGTTTAAAGCCTAGTTAAAATCATTGGAGTAGTTCCCACCTGATGAGAGTCCTGTTCTTGCTCTCATTCCTAAGGTGACTAGACCAACAGGTGCTGACTAACTGCTGCATGCTGCAGTTCTTTCTTATCAACCATAGATGTCAGTATTACAGATACTTCAAGTTAAGTAAAATGAATCTTATCCAATCTTATGAAAGAAGTGGAAAAATAACATTTAAGGGGTACAGGAAAATAGCAGCAGTGCTAGAATTTATTGTTCTAATTCCAGTTTGGCTTTATATGTCTATACATTTGCATTTCATTTACAAATGGCTCCTGTCTTGAAATGCTAGTTGAAATCAGTGGTGTCTGTTGTTGAGAATTCACGCTGACAAAAGCTTTTTTTGTCTCTTGACCATTTCTTTTAGGATTTGCAAGAAATAAAAGAGCTCTCTAAAACTGGCCAGGAAGAAGTAGTGGAAGAGTCAAAGGCAAGCAAGCGATTGACCAAGAGGGTGAACCGAATGATTGGTCAGATAGACAAAATTATTAATGAATTAGAAACAAGTCAAAAGACAGTGGATGCAAAGCTGGACAGTGGCGATAGTCCTCCTGCTGGGTAAGTGACTTGAAAGCACTGAATGTGTCTCTGTTCATCTTCAGTCTTGCTTTTGTCTGATGTGTGATAAGAATTAGCAATTAAGTTGTTGTTCGGAAAGCTAAGATTATTTTAAAAATAAAATTAACAAAATTGTGCTGTAGATTTTCTCTCTTCTAAGATAGGTTAAATATGGTTGGAATGAGGAAGGAAGAAAGCAGATGTAATTCCCCAGATACTAGTTCTGAGGGGGTTCGGAAAGTCAAGGCACTGATTGATATCTTAACGTCTTGTCTTAACGGTGATGCAGGTGAAATCACGCCTTTAGTCATGCTCCTCACACAGTGGGTTTGCCCAGTGTTGTTGATTGAAAAGGTGCACAACAGTATGGTGAGCATATTCATGTTTGTTATTTAGTAGTGAAGATGTCAGTGAGGAAAAAAAAATTGCAATAAAGTCTAATCTGTCTCTGAAGAGAAATGGCGGAACAGGTCTAATGGAAATAAGGAGATAATTTTATAGGGTCCTTTTCTGAAAATTTGCTTCATTTAAACTTCAACACACTTGCAGATTTTCAAAGAAAGATCTTTCTTGATAGTTTCATTGCTAAATTCATTTATCAACACTTCTCCAACTGTTAATGTTACTGGAGAGTCTTTCAGGCAATCATATGTTGAATAGTCATATGTTGCGTATTACAGGCACTGAAATACCTAAAAACTGTGACTGTAATTCTCACAGTTTGTCATTATGAATGCTGTATTATTCTTCACGGCTCCCATAGAGCATAACCTAAACAGAAGTAAGGGTTCTGCTTTTGTTGCTTCCAAACTTTGTTTTTTCCACTCCCCAGGGAAAACAGTCATTTGTTTCAAATTTTGTGTAATACGATTAAGGCGACCATATGAATGGTGCTATAGAAAAGTTGTTGATCAAAATCATCCAGATTTGTTAATTAAGAATACAATATAGAATCTGCTTGTACTGAATGTAATTATGTAATGGATGGTTTTGTGGATAATTTTGTAGGTGATTGTAGATGACTGAAAATTATGAGTTTAAATATTGCTTAATTGTCAAAGGCTTGTTCTTTAACCTTCAAGTTGGTGCAGTCATTACCAAGCAGTCAAGGGTCATAGAAATGAAACAAGTCCAGGACATTTAGTGGCAGCTTAGGAAATGCTCCTTGAATACAAGTCGGTCTGTGCCCAGAGGTTAGGGACAGGTATGGAGCTGAGACTATACTGATAAAGCCCTTCTGTTTACTGTTTATTGGGTTTGCTGTCTCCTGCATTTCAGCTTGAGCTGTGCTGGAAGTTGGTTCTTCAACCTAGCAAAACTAGATAGACAAGCACAGGCTTTAGGCTGCAGAAGACAGACAACTTCAGCTTCATGAGTTCAATAAACAGAGAGTGGAAACATCTGAAATATGCTACTCATGATGTCAAGTTTAGTCCTTTCTTCTGTAAAGTCTGTTCCTCGATATGAGCAAATGAAGCCTATTTTAACAAAACAGCTAAATGGCTAAAGCAATTAGTTCTCAGCTTGTGTTTTGCTGTGAAGTTCATTAATTTTGTGTAGTCCAGGCTCATTGAGTCTAAAAGGAGGTGCATGGCCCTGCATCTTTGGTAAATGGGGGGAGGCAAAGGGCATTAGATACATGGTCTGGGAAGCACAGCAACTGTGCTAAACTTTACTTCAGGTGCTACTGGATACCTGTATTTGTGCAGTAAACCTTGTGGGAACCAAAAATATGAAATTCAATAGTAAGATAAAGATGCATTTGAAATCTGCTAGCTGATCAGGAACTCATTTTTGCTTTTTTGCATTCTGTTCAGGATTCTAAATAATTAATTAACATTTTTACAAATGACCTGCAGTTTAGTGACTTTCAGTACTGCCTTTTGTCAACTTTACTCCTGTGGAGTAACTGCTTGCCATGTACAGATTGTGCTTCCTCTTCAGGGAGAATCTCATCAGTATTTCTGAGCTAATTAATGCGATGAAACAAATTCAGAAGATTCCAGAGGAGAAGTTAACTAGGATTGCAGAGGCACTAGATGAAAATAAGGATGGCAAAATTGATATAGATAATGTTGTGAAGGTAAGTCTGTGGACTGCTTAAAGAAAATAGGGCTACTAATCCTTTAAACATTGTATCTGTTTTGACTTAAATTCATATTGCTGTCTTTTGCAAGAGTCTTTACTTGATGCCAGGGAGGTTTTTGGGAATGCATTGTAAATAGAACTTATAATACATAGTCGTATCTTCAGAATTTATATGGCTGTTTTGAGGGTGGGGGAAAAAAATCATCTTTATCCTGTGTCAGTTACCCATGTTACCTTTTAAAGCTGTAGTTTTCTTGTATGCATATCTCAAGTTCTGTAAAATACAGTAATATTGTTATGCTGCTTATGAATGGGAGAGAGGTTGCAAATATTCAGCCAAAGTCTTGGCATAATGTTTATAGATACACTTTATATCAACACAGGACAATAGCTCTCTGGCCTCCCTGTATACCTTAGATATTTCATTGAGACCTGTATGTGTTGTGCTTGAAAGACATCAGACCATCAGCTGTTCTTTAGGTCCATTGTAAATGACTTGTGTTCTGTGCCTGCTTTGTCCTGTTACTTCATTTTGCAGAATATTCTTAGGTTTTCCCTGCAATTCTCCTTCATTTTGTTTTTTCTTTTTTACTTTGTAAATTTAGAGGTGTCCTGAAACTTATTTCCTTGCAAGTAGTTTTCCTGCTTAATATAGCAATAGTGCCGAAAGTTAGGACACTGTGGCCAGCTAGAAAACACAGTATCAGCCTTTTGAAACATATTTTTCCTCTCTGCTGAAGTTGTCCCAGTGGCAACTGTCTTCCCTGTTGCTCTAAACAGCTGTTTTATTCAATTGCATTTAGTAACACAGGTAAAATGCACTTTTGAGTTTTGCATATAATGCAGAATAATTGGAAGCACCTGCTAAATTACTGCTTTTTATTTTGCTTTCTGAAAGGCCTACACCCCTGTACTATTAAGTTTTTGTAAATTTATACCTTTCTATTTAGTACAGTAGGTCTTTTTGATAAAATTAACCCTGTAAAATAAGTATTGTCTTAAATAGTGTTTCAGCAGCTACTGAATCTGAGCTTTCCATTGGAACAGATATAATAAATGGGTCTGTTTTACTAATGCTCTAAAACACAACTTTGTGTTCTGAGGTCAAAAGTTCTACATAATCTGTTTTAAATTTTACTTTTTTTAATACTTCTGATATGTTTGAGGTGCTAGTTGTGGTCTGAATTTGTGTTTTCATGTAGGAAAAACTACAAGTTTTTTTTTTTAATATGAGAGAACTGATTTTTTTTTGTCTTAACAAAATTGATTATATGAAAATGCCTCAATTAGGTAAAAATTAAACGCGCTCTCAATTTCATTTTATCTTCACGTAGGTAGTAGAATTGATTGACAAAGAAGATATTGATATTGGCACCAGTCAGGTTGCTGAGATTATGGCACTGCTTCAAAAAGAAGAAAAACTGGAAGAAAAAGAGAAAGCTAAGGAAAAGCACGATAAAGAAGCTGCGGAAGCAAAGAATTAAGCTTCAGAGTCTGAAGCTAGTCCCAGTTGTAACCAAAACCTTGTATATCTTTCTGTGTCTAATGGCTATATATTACTTGAGCTTTTGTGATTACGGGAAGTATTTTGAGCTGATTCTAGTAATAAATCTTAGATGTGTTTTCTGGCGTATGGAATGAAATTTCCGTTCATCAAAGAAGTGATTTACTGTCATTCCATACAGAAGAAAACAAAATATGCTTCTTTAGCAGTGCTCCTGCCCACAAAATCTTGTATTTGCACTCATCGTTGTGCTACAGTGAGCCATTAAACTTGCAAGTTTGTGATATAAATTAAGTGTATCTATCATGGAAAAATATTTCTCATTTATTTCTTTTCATCATTACGTGGGGCCCAACCTTATTCTGCTTCTACCTTTAGCTTTTTCAGAATTTAATACAAACTTTCCCTTCCATTACAATATTATACATTTTGATACCTGTTGGTGAAGATTCTGTGGCTTCAATAGTAGCTCTTTAGATAGAGTTTTATTTGAGCTAGATATCACAAAGCTGTTGCCTCACTGACAGAGAATGTGGCATTCTAATCACTTTTATGAATTAATTACTATTATTTTTTTTTTCTGTTGAAGGGAAAATAAGATTTATTTTTCCCTAGAATGGAAACTTCTCATGAAGTTCGCTTCTTATGGGTGCCTTAAATTTCTTAAGAGTAGGAAGTAGAGGATGTTGCTTCTACTCAAAATTCCATGAATTACTAAAGCGTCGGAATCACAGGAGCCTTTAAAATAATTTCAGAACACAATCTGTCACCCAGTAAAGTGAGTTAAAGTGTTTGTCTAAATAGCAAAATGAAAATAATCGTAAGGGGAAAATGTCATTGTGATATTTTTGCATATATTTTTTAAAAATGCCATTATCTTTGCATGTTTGTTTTTCATCTGATAATTTACACCATAACTAGTTCTCTTACCTCTCAGTTTTCATCTCAGGTATAAAATCACTAACCAGGTATAGTCAAAGTACATAAATACTTTCATCTCACGGCCTTGCTTACTGTGCAGTCAACATGTCATGCCTGGTATTGCCAGTGTTTTGATTACATCAGTGGCTTCCTAATTAATTGATTAGTGTCTTTAATTGTGTGATTAAATACTGACAGTAAGTCAAGGTTTACTCATTAATGTCAGCCCTTGGTAGTAAAATTTTTAAGTTTAAAATACTAACCGGGATGTTCTGTCATTCCTGGTAGCCTAAGTTTTCCACTGTTTATTAAAACCTGTTATGAAATACACATAGTGTGACTTGAACCAGCAGGGTTGTGGTTTTGTTTTTTTAAATTTATTTTTTATTTTGCACCCAGTATTAGAAAATATATGAACATCATTGATTTTATGTACAATATAGAGAGCACATCTTACAATGGCACTGTACGCAGTGATACTGAGGTGGGCAGTTAGTACTTAATGCTTTTAGTCATAGTTGCATATTTTTGTAGAACATATTGACTCCCAAGCGTATTTCAGCATAATTCCATGTTCAGTATTTATCTAGATTGGCTAAATTATTTGTAAAAACTCATTTGAAGTTAGTGGAACAAAAAAAAAAACCTTGATAGTCTCATGGCTTGCATGATGGACCATTGTATTTAGTTGTTTCCAAAGCAAGATGTACAGTACAACCCTAGAAAAAGGGTCAATGTGTAATTCAGGTATTTAGTTCATATTCTGTACAGTTTGCAAAGAAAGCTGCTTCAGTAAGATCCTCCTGAGAATTACTGTAAAATTTATCTGAAGTGTAAAAGTGCTGTGACAAAGCTGAAATTTCACATCAGTACAAGCTTTGCAGTTAATGTACCTCTAAATAAGGGGTTATTCTCGTCCTTATAAATTGACTTTCATACTGAAATCTCCAAGTTAGTTTGTAGATTTTGAAGGCAGGACTTAAATGAGGTGCTTTTTTAGGCCAAAACTTATCTGTGATGAAAATGTAAGAGTAAAACTAATTTCATGAAAATACAACTTTAAAACTAATTTTACATTGTATAATTTAAAATTAGAATTAATGGACTTTGAAGTGCACTAAATTTTGCAGTTGTATATCTTCAATTTCAAAACAGTGTGTAACAATCTTACTTGACATTCCTGAAACATGATAAAGATACTCTCAAATTGTCTGCTATCTTTCATGGAATATCAAAAACCTCAGAACTGTATGCACTAGAATGCATGCAAGTTTAAAACAGGGAAGTAGCAGAAAATGCTACTTTCAAAAATTAATTTATTACAGTTTTACAGAGCTTTAACTGTCCTTACAGTAAATTATCTGATTGTAATATTTGGGAGTTTAAGGCACTTTGCTGCTGTTCTCTTTCTGTGTGTAGTGTTCACTTAAATTTTCAGTGGATTAAATAGGAAGGGAGACAAAAATATCTGATTTTCTTTTTTCTTTTTTTTTAATGAAGAAAGGCCTGATGAAAATAGTTGATACTTTTATTGAACATTTTCAGCTTCTGGACTTGTTTGAAATTAGGCATATTTTGACATTTTAACAGGTTACATAAAATACTTTTAAATGTCAGTCACAAATGTCAGTTTTCCCCTGTGATTAAAGCGTTCAAAGGACGTACGTATCATCAACCATAGCAAAGCATTTTTGTGGGGAATATTTTCCTTCTGAGGTTGAAAGCAGGCTAACCCATCACAGCTGGACTTGAAAAACCCATTTTCTGCAAGTTTAAAAAGATGACAAAGCCCTTGGTGACTCCCGTTTACCCGGTTTTGAACCTTCCCGTTCAGCTCTGTCCAGGCGATACAGACAACTCCGGCAAATTGTTGGCTTGAGGACTAGCTTCAGATAATGTCCTTTGTTGTCTTTCGTGATGACCAAAAAACCAGAAGCTGCAGTACTTTCAGAGAAAGGATGACTTCTGTGTGTACAGTAACTGGTCAGAACTTATTCCTGAATGCATAATTAATCAGGAGATGTAAAATATTTGTTTAAATAATTAAAAGATGTGCGAGATTTCAGTGACCTTGTGACTTACACAGGCAAAGCCTCTAAGCTCAGAGTTAGGTAATCGGTAAGAGCATTGTTAGGGTTGTTTCAGATTCAAATAAAATCAGATTTTGATTATAAACTATTCAGGGGAAAAAATGTGAAACTAAAAGAAAAGCTTTTTTAAAAAAATTAGCAACAAGAACGAGAAGTAAAGTAGGATGTAATTTATTTTTCCCTTTCAAAACAAGCAGGTTACAGGACCTAGTCTATTGAAAAATTGGTTTCCATTTCATGTTAGCTCAAAGGATGGTTTTTACTGAGATTTTCATCACTGACTGCGTGCTGTGAGAGCAAATCTGCCTGCGAGTTAAGTGCCAGAAAGCTGATTTAATAGGTAGTTTGTCAACAAGACTGCATGCAGGTAGAGAATATTCTCTTGACAGGATAGTACCTTACACTTAACATAGGCTTTGTCTGGGGGAAAAAGTTACATCTTTTATACAACTCCAAAAAACTACTTGTAACTTTATATCTACATACCTTGCTAATAATTTAAACCTTAGCTACTTCAGCATGTATTTAAATACTTTTAAATTGTTTATATCAAATTATTACTGGGTGTATTAAATGAAAAGAATAATCCCATATTCTGTTTTTTGTATGTATTCCAAGTTTTGCTTTTCAGTTGAAAAATTTCAGCCCGTGTTATAAATTTAAGTTGAAAATTTGTGCTCTGAGCATACTGGTCCTGTGTTTGCCATAATGCAGTATAAATTTTTTAAGTTAGTTGGAGCTCGTGGTCCTTTGTTTAGTTATAATAAATGTATAATTTTGAAACCTAATATCTCCATTATTTTTCTGTTGCTTTTGATTATTTAGTGTTAATTTATTGCTGTTCAGATGAGATGCCAGCCACAGAGCTGGACACTGATGAGCTGAGTATTGTAACGGAAATGTTTGGGGTGGAAGAAGGCGGATGAAGGACAGATCTTTAAACCAGGCTGGGGTGGTAGGTTTTGTGGGATTTCAGGTGTGTTAATTCTTGCAGAAATTCTCTTGATGCGTGTGGGACTGCTTGCCTGGTGTAGTGAACTGTACTAAACCATTCTTCCCAACTATTATATTTTAGGTATGAAAATAGAGAGCAGTGTACTCTTCACTACAAGGAACTAATTGAACTATGGGCAATGATCTTAAAGGTCTTTTCCAACCAGAACAATTCTATGAAAGGTTGAGATCCAGATAGAAATAAGTCTCCTTAGGAAGGGTCTGTGTTTGGTCTTTGTCCAAGTTAAGGGAGAAAAAACATCTGAAAAAACATTCTGAAAAGGTTTCAGAAATTGATTATTTTATGCCATGTCATGCCCCTTGTCCCCTGATCTTGTAAAATTATATGTATTCCTCTGTAATCCTAATATTCTTCACCAAGTTCATCTCGGTGTACAGCAGACTCTTAAGTCTTGGGCATATCCAACAATATAGTGTTTCAATTAAAAGCTGTTATGATTTATTGTTACCTCTTCTGAAGCCTTGGCAGCCTGGGTGGGAAGGCGGAGAGAGAGAGCCTGAGCCAGCAAGGCGTCCTGTGCAGCACATCTGGTCCCTGGGAAATGACTGAGCCATCTCCAACATCGCTTGTATTGCTGCTCTTTTGGAAGCTTCAGCGCTCGTCCTGGCCCCGCTGTGGTCAGCACTTAGAGAGACACACAGCAAAGAAGATCCAGACCCAAAAGATGTGGAGGTCCTGGTGTATGGGCCTGTGTTGACAAAAGTAGTCTCCTGGCTGCTTTCAAACAGGATTGGGAATGTGCAAACATTGGATCTACTTTCCAGTGTCAAAGTATTTCAACAGATGGCTGAAAACAACCTCCTGCCTTGAGATGCTTTTAAAATCACTTGATAGATAAGCTAGCTTGGGTTGCAGGATTTTCCTTTTTTTGCTTAAACAAAATAGCAAAGAAATGGCTTAAAAAGTGGCAGACCTTGTTTCTTTCAAGCTTTTGCTTTAAAAATGTCCTTTAATAACAGGGTGAATAGGACTATTGTGCAGCGTGGTAAAACTAGACTAGCAGAGAAATTGTGGCTTTGAGTTTGTAAATCAAATATGGACATTGGCAAGTGCACTTGACCGTAGTTACCCGTGTCCTGAATGCCCAAGAGAGAGACT